ATTGCTTTTCACTGTCCACGCTGATGTGCCTGAACGCGACGTAAAATCATATTAATCACAGACAAAGGTTACTTGTAAAGTTCATACAAGTATGGAATCCCTAGAAGGGACATTGTCGCGTTATCGCATTGTCGTCCTTACAAAAACAACGAAAAAGTGTCAAAATTGACCAAAGCGCAACAAATGCGATGAAGCGACAGTTTGGCCATTTGTCGTATTGTCGCGCTTTTATTATTTTTATTTACCAAAGGTCGACAAGGTCAAAATATGTCGCCATACTTAGGATTCCATGCTTATATAATATACTACCATAACCTTATCGGTAATGATACCAAATACATATATTCAGATTTTCTTCATATCGTGGTAATAGAACACATTGTTGAACACCGGTGGGGCAGGATAAATCAGGATGTGTTGCAAGTTATTCAAAAACGGTAATAGGGGAGAACATTGTCAACTGTATTATGTACAAAACTATAACGACCCAATAACCGCAGATGGTGCGAGGCCAGATGTTTCGATCCTGGTCAAAACGGCACGTACGACAGTTGATAAGAAATATTGTGCGAATGTTCTTCTTTAAGTGTACAATAAACGATTGCCTTGTTGAGCAATTGACAGCTGAAACGATCTGAAGATATTTTTTGCATCTTATTCTCAGAAATTATGTTTTGACAGAAGAGGAAAGGGATACTTTAAGTTTTTATTTCTTGTGAGACAATAATCTTGCTATTTTCTGAGAAAGTAATTTTTCAATATTTTCTTTGAAAAAAAGACATACGCTATGTATGAGCGCCGGGACCAGATGCCATCGGCGGAAACAAGAAGTGGTAGTCATGTAGCTGAAATTGGTATCAGCTGTTGCAAATACTGAGTAGAACCTCATCGTTAATTCACTACTCACAAGCCTTACCATAGCGCGCAAAATCCTCGTCATACAATATGTTGGCTGACGTTTCCTCAAATTAACTTCCGTCGAATCTCACAGAAGCCGCAGTGACGATGCTTGGTCCAAAGACTCCCTCCACTGGATCCTCCCTCCATTGGATACCCCGTTTCCAACCATGAAGGTCCCGCACTGACTACCGACCCTCCAACCAAGGAGCCCTTTTATCAAAGCCCGTCGAATGCAACAGACGCCGGACTGTAGATAGAAGAACAGCATCGGCGCTAACAGAAACCACAATTTTCAAACCTTGAACCAAGGATTCCGTTTGCCAGTATTTGCCATACTGCCGAGAACTACTGAGAAGAAACTCTCAAATCTCGACCCCATTGACCACCCGTTGCCAAACCTCGCAGCAGGTGGTTCTGTCGATCCAAAACTTTCATCCTCGACCCCCTTCGGTGACCATTAAGCTGTTTCTCTCATGTCAGTGACGGTCAAGTCATCACCATTCCTGGATAGGAGCGAAGCTTGGGGTTGATAAAGGTTAAAACATTTTCCGTTCAAAGTCGTTTTGTTTTTCCCTGTCGGGGATGAGCTAGTCAAGGGCCAAACCATCTCTGACTGCGCACGAGGCTTTTATTCGGTTCCCCATATGGTGCAGTTTGTTAAACCTGTGCCAATCCAAACCCAAATGCAAGAATTAAAAAAGCCACCCTACTCACGCAGCTTCACACAGATTAACTCACTCACTCACTTATTCGTTAACTCATCAACGATAATAAAATGGTAATGTCGCGGTCAGTGAGTGAGTGACTGTGCTCAGTGAGTGAGTGAGTGGATGGGTGGGTATTTGAGTGAGTGAGTGAGGCATCACGGTGTGTCAGCTCACTGGGGGACCACGTCGGTATTGTGTAGACCCTAGACGTTCACCACGCGAAATCCACGAACGCGAGTCAAACAAAGAGTCAAATAAAGGCGAATCTGGATTTCCAACCCTCGACCATCGGATTCTGTCATGACAAAGGGACACAACTCAGAACAACGATCATATTAGTGTAGTTAAAATGTTCGAATTTACTTTCGAATATGGTATTTGGTTTACGCATTCATGCTCACATGGACTGTGGCAGTGACGAAAAATATACCTCTGTAACTACTACTCATAACTACCGATTAAATTCTTCTCTGAGTGTTTGGTTGCATTAGACCAAGTAGTTGTAACCAGCAAGTTTCATTTCTAAGTAAATATACCAGTACAGTGTACGGTATATGATATATCACGATGGCATCTCCTATTATTCTTATCAAAGCAATTGATTGATTTTGTTCTTTTCATACTCTCGACAAACCAACATTGTTTTCCCAAAACGACTTGCAGTGTCCATTATATAGTGCGATGTGTCGCTGTTAGGCAAATACCATTCCTAGGTCTCATATGGAACAATATTGCTCAACATTGTTCATATTACCATGGCAACCGCGTTGTTCACGTGCTCCTTGAAAGATGCCCACGTCAACCATTTCGACTGCTGGCCATTTATATTTTCATATTTCCAGCTTGAACTTTAACCATTATTGTCACTAACCGAATTCGTTTTGAAATGGCATTGTCCCAGTGGTCTTTGGCCACGTGAATGTTCCTCAGATACGCCCTGATATAACTGCAACATTATTAAAGCAGCGTTAAGCCAAACTCACTCACTCACTCACTTGTCCGTTTCTGGTCAATGATACACCAACTCTGAGTGGCTTCATTAGGGATCAAACCCAGAACTTCTGCGTGATGAACGAACGCTTTAGCCACTAGGCTAATCAAACGCTAATGCAACGGGTAAGTTGCAAAGTTATTTAAGTTAAGTAAGTTTTTTTAGATCTATTTTTTTTGTGTGCCTCTATTTGTTGGTGAAGATGCAAGTATGAATTGTCTGCACATTTTTCCATACAATAGAGTAAAGCAACTTGCAAATCGGATGGTCGAAGGTTTGCGTTCGAAGGTGTTATTCATTTTTTCGTTTGTTTGTGAAACTCACGTTAATGCCTGGCAAGATACTTGTAACAGAGTGTAGTTGTACAAAAATAAAATTATTACTGTTGATATTAACAAAGAAAAAGAAAAAAAATACCTTTAAAAATTGTATTGTCCATTCCACCCCTATTTCTTAAAATCACTCTCCATCTTCAAGTATCCTTTGACGTTTTAACTTGAAACCCTATGTATAAACGCAGGCGATCAAGTTTACAAAGCTCTGTACATTCAGAAACAACAAAGAGACACGAATGGTGTTATCCAACCTTTTTGCGTTTGTAAATGCCAGAAGCCAAAACTATGAAAACTGTCGCTCGTCAAGCCAAGGACCCGGGTTCCAATCCCCACATGGCTATAATCTTTAAGGCTTTCCTGGGTATCACCCGGTGTGAAATAGCTGGCAAATAATGCTGAATGTGGAGTGACATTCAAAACACACCCCTACACCCTTCGTTTGAAGTTTCTTCTCCACTCTAAGTCAGCTTTTACCAACAGATCCAATTACTGACAGCTCTTACACTTTATCACTACGGTATCGAGTTGTAACATAGGGGATGAAGTTTATGGAAAACGCTTGGCTAAGATTCTAAATCTCGGGAAAAATTGTACACTTAGGTGCATGGATTTGACTTAAAGGATGCTGGGAAGCAATCAAGGGGAATTCCTGTGCACTGCTGACTTTCACTTCCGGACAGTACTAGTGTTTGCCGTGTTTCAGAAGCACTTCCACGAAACAGATAATTAGGACCCGGATTTGAGCAGCAGTTTCCAACACTTTTTAAAAAGTTAATCCGGTGTTTTTTTCTGAAATTTCAAATCTTAAAGGTTTAAATCCCCGCAAGAAATACGTGACTTCTTTAAGTGCATCCTTAATAACACTACAAAAAGTAACATAGAATCAACTACCTTTTCAAACTTGTTTGCTTTAGGGATATTTCTTCTGAGCAATGCTTAGCGTATTGATGGGAACTCGATAATGACGTTACACTTTAAGGCTGTGCTGCTGTCATGATGCATACAAAGAAACATTATACAACCTGATAGAGTAGGATAGGCGTCTATGTATACAGGTTATATTATGAGACGACAAGTATAAGCTCTTTCCGTTTTAGATATTGATGATGGGAACGACACCTATTAGGACAATTCCTACCCCTTATAATTATTACGACCGTACCTAAACAGGTATTGGAAACGTATGACGGCTTTCTATTTCAATCTCAGTTAGCGCGATGAAAAAAATCAATTAGGCATTCAATGTTATAACGCTGACCAGTGTCACAGACAGGGATTAGTTCTGTGCTGTCATGATTGCTACAGCGCCAGGATGTTGGTCATGTTACTGCAGACCCCGATGTGCAAGGTGCATGAATCGATAGACATGCATGACATATATTGTGACTGATCTTCAAAATATTTAACAAGCATTTAACAAACGTGTTTTCAAACCTTTGGACGCCACGTGTTTCAGTTTCTCCAATGACACCTAATGAACATACTTCGTTCTGTGAATCTGTCAGAATGGTGAAAGAAGTCAACGTGCTGCGAATGTTCTAACAAAACTCAGCATGGTATAAACCAGCGAATGTCAATGCTTGGTTTACCGTAAGGTGTTCTCATGCAGTATGGTGACGTGTAATTCACCTGGATGGCATTGGCATTAAAGAAAGATATATCATACATTAGAATTCATTTCTTTTCGTATTGATGTGCGCAATGTATTCATGCCTTATTTCGTTTCTGACGGATACAGTAAGGACACATTTGCTTGCTGTAATGTCACTCATGGATCTCAACCGAGGAAGGTCTAGTGAATGCACAAGTAATGCGATTTATAAACCAGTTGGTATTGTCACAAAAGTGTGAACAAGCGTAAACGACAAATGAATCAAAACGCGTGTATGGACGACGTTTTTACCAACTGTGTTGAAGATGAAACGGGTGTTGTTATTGATGCACTGTTTTGCGAAACAATTTTTTTTTAAGATTGTGCTTTAAAACAATCTAAAACGTACGTTTACGAACATACTGACCAAGCTTATATGATCACGTGACTGCCAACACGAGTAATTTCCATAGAGGTATCATAAAAATAGAATTTATTAAATATCAGCAAAGATTCGTTTAATATTGCATTAAAACAGTCAAGAAAGTATAGAGTCAGTCAGACAACGAATTACTCATACACTATTACGTTATTCTGTTAACAGTATCTTATGTAACATAATCATATAGCTTACAATGAATATTCTCTTATTGATATGCTTACTTTTATACATATTCGCTATACATAAATGACATGTCAATTGAGAATCCAAAGTTTACGAAGTTGATAGATTGCAACGCTCACATCACACAAGCACACAGTACCTCAGTGAAATAGAACTGTTCACATAGATCCTCAATAGTCAATAATCATCTCTATAGAAAGTAAACATTCCTAGCAGGTTGGGAATTGTATTTGCTTATAGTTATCCATCGGGACCACCCTTGGCTCCTTTCTTTCAACAGTCTGTTTGTCATGGCCGTTTACCTTGAACCCCTCACGTCACCAGTAGTCTCTCGTCCAGTCCGCCTTTCACAGGCTCTGGCTAGGCGCCTAGCCTATGAATTCACGTACGCGTTTGTTGTAGCCGTTGTCGATGCTGTCGTCAAAGCTGAGAAGGCTTCGTTTCCCTATGAACTCACGCACCCTCTTCCTGACGTCTCGTTTCCTCTTTGCAGCCGCTGGGGAAGGCATCACCGAACGTTTGCCGAAGAACTCCCGAAGACGTTTCTGTTCCTCTATTACGTTCCGTTTGCCAAAGAATTCTCGTAGTCGTTTCTCTTCCATGGGCCCATCTCGTTTCCCGAAAAACTCTCTGAGGCGCTTGTCATCAACGTGCCCGTCCCGTTTGCCAAAGAACTCTCGGAGCCGTTTCTGTTCCTCTGGGCCACTGCGTTTACCAAAGAATTCACGAAGACGTTTTTCTTCTACCGGTTGGTCAGACCTTTTGCCAAAGAACTCTCTCAAACGTTTGTCAGCTTCGAGTCCGTTTCGTTTGCCGAAGAATTCACGTAATCGTTTGTCCGCTGTTACGTCACTCCTTTTGCCAAAGAATTCACGAAGACGCTTGTCGGCACTTAGATCGCTCCTTTTGCCAAAGAATTCTCTCAGTCTCTTATCAGCACTTAGATCGCCACTCCGTTTCCCAAAGAATTCCCTTAGCCTTTTATCAGCACTGGGATCGCTTCGCTTACCAAAGAATTCACGAAGTCTCTTGTCCGGGTTATCACTTCGTTTTCCAAAGAATTCCCTTAAACGTTTGTCCTCCCTTTTACCAAAGAAATCCCTGACTCGCTTGTCGTATGTTCCATAGTCCTGGCCAAAACCTTCAGCAGAGTCCGCTGAACTTAAATCTCTCTTACCAAAGAACTCCCTGAGTCGTTTATCGGGTGTGGCCCCCACGTCCCTACGATCCCGGTCTGCCTGTCCCCCGGACACGACAAGTAGGGTTAGTCCGGCCACTAGAAGTTGATGCAAGGGCGGCATGCTGGCTCACCGCGCGGGACACAAAATGAGGATACTAGTGAACGCGCGCGCGCCTTTTAAAGCCAGCTCGTGTACTCTCCGCGCCAGCCCTCCCTCGCAGCCAAACAGCGGCTGCTAACGCATCTTCATTATAATCATTTAACAATTTGCTGATTTAGGCTCAAATTTATGTGTATGATTAATTTAGCTCTATTAGCGCGACAGAAGGCTGGATACAGAAATCAATGAACAATCAGTCGTCAGAGAGTGTCATAGCAAAAGCATTGCGACAGACGGAGCAGGGGTGGTTCAATAAGAGGACTCTACATTTCTTCTCGGAGGATCAATAGTAAACTTTGTTGTATACGCGAAAGACTGTCCAACCCACGCATCCGCCAACAAGAGGTGTGGCTTGTTGAGTGACAGGACGGAGGGGGCGGGATAGTGACTGGCACGAGGGGTGGCTGTTAATAGTGCTTATCTTAGGCCAGCGATCACTTCAACGTGATTCTACTTATTAAGCGCAGGTCTGTGATCAGCAGAGACGTCTCGGAAAGTCTCCGAACCTCCCGTCTCCTCATAATGAAGCTACTGTCGTTACAGTTTATTTAGTGAAATTGACTTTCGAAACCTTGGTCTCAATGTGATTAAAATCTAGGATCTTAAGGCAATTCTTTCTTTTAGGAAATATTTGTTTTAGGTTGTGAAAAATCAATGTTGGTTCTGGCTATTTGTGCTATGCTGTATGTTTAATGTGTCTATTTAACCTGACACCGAAAACACAGGGAGTTCTATTTGGAATATCAAGTCAAGATGCCCTGAAGCACAAAGCACATGGCGATCTGTAAGTTTAGCAACCAGAATCTACGCATGGTTAGGTTAAAATAACCTTTAACTTCACGAAATAAGTAATGCACTGACGTTTTTATATATCAAATGGGCACAAATGTTCGAAAGATACCTCTGAGTGGTTGTTGTTAATTATATCCTTAAATTATTATTCACATGTTTAAGCCTACATTCACAGATGAAATCTCCGAAATTTGGATGATAATTGGTATCCGAAATATATTTTTTCATCAAAAACAATATAAATAGCCAGCGTTACATACTACTTAACTTACTTTATATCGCTACTTTGTTCTGATCCGTATTGGAAATTTATTTTCATCTAAATCTCGCGCGGACACATTCCCAACGAGACTTATCCTGATGGCCTTTTTATTACAACACAATTATCTCGAATGTCATGTAAAACAATAATGTAAACTGTCATCATTTAATGCGTTCCATTAATAATTTTTCAAATATTCTTTTCATCATGACAATGATATTTATTTTCGAAAATTTGTAATATCAAATCCAACCACGTTAACTGTAGTCTCCATGTCTCCGAAACCAAAAGCTGTAACAAAACAATGCTTTATAACTATAAATGACAATCTCCTTGAACGCAGAGACCTTAAACAGATTACAGCGATCAAGGAGAAAGCAAAGTTAATTATTTCCATTTTCATAAGAAGTGCATCAATGTCAGAACGTGACAAGGAATATGGATGAAACATATTTTCTGATACAAAGGCTTGTGTTATCGATAAACCAATCCGATAACCTAGGTATCATGATCCGATAAATATGCAAAAGGGGATATACTTTCAAGCTCCATGTATCAATACGATGCCTTCTTTCTCAATACATTATTAATTAACTATATGCATTGTTAGTTCCCAATATGTTAATGTAGGGCTCTTCATGTGTCGCCGAAACATTGCGACAGACATGGCTGCAAGTCATCTGGCACATCACTATAAATTGAGCGGTTCACTCGAAAAATGTATTCGTATGCGATTTCTAACGCTTTTTGATTGAGATGAAATTACGATTTGAACATCCACTATTTTATGACATGATGTGATGATGAGATTATTACCCTCGTGTGTTTCCGTATCGTAAATATCATATATTAGGAATTAATTTACCCAGACTACCACAAGACGGGCAACGGCACATGGTTACAACTGGCGAGCCTTTTTAATGCCTCGTGTCTAATGAAGTGACTGATTTGAGACTGCCATCTTGTTGAAGAATTCCAATCAGCTGTTACATATTGCAGCTTATTTCAACATTACACGTTAGGAAATGTCCGTTATGATTGGTTAAATTAATTTTGAAATATTACCACACAATTTTCTGCGCATTACACGACCTCCTCCTTTTATTTGAGACAAAGAATTTTAGCGTCTTTCAAAACGATAACGAAATACACGACATTCATATTTTCATTGAAATTACTTTTGTAATGCCAAATCTTTGCTTTGGCAAATATACATCGTAACCTGATATAAGGAGTATGTTAGTTGGGATAAATCGGTTAATGGTACTGGTACCAACGGTTGGATGATAAGAATAAAATCCTACCCTCAAATATGATCAATTCACTCCAGACTTACAGTGCTAAAGTGACGGAGGGAAAGTAACTGTTTCATTCAACCCTGCAATCGATGGGTGTGTCCGTCGCTCACCATGGTAACTGCACCCTCGCGGGACAGATATAAGTCACAGCCATAAGGATATTATTTTCAGATTCCTTTTTTAGTTTCCGTGTAGGGTGTTTCTGTCTGATAATGGTCATCAGGTGCGCTTTCGGCACGTAACTGCCAATGCAGGAGTTGAAACCGATCTTTCACAACCGGATATCAATCTCCGAATGATACGTGGGTGCAGCTCCATGTCGTAGATGGAGCATGTTGTAATATGTGGTATTACGCACGTTGCATGACTATCCCAAGGCTGCATCTGTGATATAGTTGTTTCACGGTATACATGAGCACCTTCTATTCTAGATACATGTAGCTTCTCAAGGCTGTTGTATGCAGCATGGATTTTCACATACAGAATATTTTCCGATATTTCTCGCATGTAGAATATCACGTTCAAGTATATACCAAAGATAACAAATGTCGCGTTCAGACATATTCCCCTCTCTCGTACTATCAGATACTCCTCTCCTGCAGGGGGACACGTTCCGATATTCCTCTCCTGCAGGGTGCTACGTTCCGACATTCCTCTCCTGCAGGATTGTTACGTTCCGATATTCCTCTCCCCAAGGGTGTTACGTTCCGACATTACTCTCCTGCAGGGGTGTTACGTTCCGACATTCCTCTCCCCAGGGGTGTTACGTTCCGACATTCCTCTCCTGCAGGGGTCTTACGATCCGACATTCCTCTCCCCAGGGGTGTTACGTTCCGACATTCCTCTCCTGCAGGGGTGTTACGTTCCAACATTCCTCTCCTGCAGGGGTCTAACGTTCCGACATTACTCTCCTGCAGGGGTGTTACGTTCCGACATTCCTCTCCCCAGGGGTGTTACGTTCCGACATTCCTCTCCTGCAGGGGTCTTACGATCCGACATTCCTCTCCCCAGGGGTGTTACGTTCCGTCATTCCTCTCCTGCAGGGGTGTTACGTTCCAACATTCCTCTCCTGCAGGGGTCTAACGTTCCGACATTCCTCTCCTGCAGGGGTGTTACGTTCCGTCATTCCTCTCCTTCAGGGGTGCTACGTTCCGACATTCCTCTCCTGCAGGGGTGTTACGTTCCGTCATTCCTCTCCTGCAGGGGTGTTACGTTCCGACATTCCTCTCCTGCAGGGGTGCTACGTTCCGACATTCCTCTCCTGCAGGGGTGTTACGTTCCGACATTCCTCTCCTGCAGGGGTGCTACGTTCCGAAATTCCTCTCCCCAGGGGTGCTACGTTCCGACATTCCTCTCCTGCAGGGATGTTACGTTCCGACATTCCTCTCCTGCAGGGGTGTTACGTTCCGACATTCCTCTCCTGCAGGGGTGTTACGTTCCGACATTACTCTCCTGCAGGGGTGTTACGTTCCGACATTCCTCTCCCCAGGGGTGTTACGTTCCGACATTCCTCTCCTGCAGGGGTCTTACGTTCCGACATTCCTCTCCCCAGGGGTGTTACATTCCGTCATTCCTCTCCTGCAGGGGTGTTACGTTCCGACATTCCTCTCCCCAGGGGTGTTACGTTCCGTCATTCCTCTCCTGCAGGGGTGTTACGTTCCGACATTCCTCTCCTGCAGGGGTGTTACGTTCCGACATTCCTCTCCTGCAGGGGTCTTACGTTCCGACATTCCTCTCCCCAGGGGTGTTACGTTCCGTCATTCCTCTCCTGCAGGGGTGTTACGTTCCGACATTCCTCTCCTGCAGGGGTCTAACGTTCCGACATTCCTCTCCCCAGGGGTGTTACGTTCCAACATTCCTCTCCTACAGGGGTGTTACGTTCCGACATTCCTCTCCTGCAGGGGTGCTACGTTCCGACATTCCTCTCCTGCAGGGGTGCTACGTTCCGTCATTCCTCTCCTGCAGGGGTGTTACGATCCGACATTCCTCTCCTGCAGGGGTGCTACGTTCCGACATTCCTCTCCTGCAGGGGTGTTACGTTCCGACATTCCTCTCCTGCAGGGGTGCTACGTTCCGAAATTCCTCTCCCCAGGGGTGCTACGTTCCGACATTCCTCTCCTGCAGGGATGTTACGTTCCGACATTCCTCTCCTGCAGGGGTGTTACGTTCCGACATTCCTCTCCTGCAGGGGTGTTACGTTCCGACATTCCTCTTCTACAGGGGTGTTACGTTCCGACATTCCTCTCCTGCAGGGGTCTTACGTTCCGACATTCCTCTCCCCAGGGGTGTTACATTCCGTCATTCCTCTCCTGCAGGGGTGTTACGTTCCGACATTCCTCTCCCCAGGGGTGTTACGTTCCGTCATTCCTCTCCTGCAGGGGTGTTACGTTCCGACATTCCTCTCCCCAGGGGTGTTACGTTCCGACATTCCTCTCCTGCAGGGGCCTTACGTTCCGACATTCCTCTCCCCAGGGGTGTTACGTTCCGTCATTCCTCTCCTGCAGGGGTGTTACGTTCCGACATTCCTCTCCTGCAGGGGTCTAACGTTCCGACATTCCTCTCCCCAGGGGTGTTACGTTCCGACATTCTTCTCCTGCAGGGGTGTTACGTTCCGACATTCCTCTCCTGCAGGGGTGCTACGTTCCGAAATTCCTCTCCTGCAGGGGTGTTACGTTCCGACATTCCTCTCCTGCAGGGATGTTACGTTCCGACATTCCTCTCCTGCAGGGGTGTTACGTTCCGACATTCCTCTCCTGCAGGGGTGTTACGTTCCGACATTCCTCTC